ATCACCTGAATGGGAATGTAAGTAAAAAGTAATTGAACATTGATTAACTGAAAAGCAATGGATTAAAGTAAATTCAAATGGTATCTTTATAGTTCAAAACATCAGAACTTATTAGCTACTTGGAGAAGGAAAATGCAACATTCAAGTAAAAGAAAATCCTCTTGCCTTTCGTCCAAAACTCGGGCATGAAAGCTGGATCGCCTAGATTCCTCTTTTGGAAAATATTACCAGGTTTTGATGTATAGCCAAGCCGCAGCAGATCAAACCGGGGAGCACCTTAAGAGCGTATTAAAACTTTCAGATGAATGAAAAAGATAGCCAACCTTCGTTCTTCAAAGGAGGAAGTGACATGAATGGAGCTTCTCCAATGAAAGGAATATCATACTTAGCAGCAAATCCACAAGGAAAAAGATTATCGCATCTAAAAAGATGCCTACACATTCACAATATGAACAACTATACACATTTGAATACACATTCAAAAAACATTGCGCTGAAAGAGCCTCTATTCATGTTAAAACAGCAAGAGAATTAAGAACATGGCAATCAAAAACTTCTCCATTAAATAGTAATTTGGTCGAACATGGCTGCAGACTAACCCGATGACAAACATCAGAGGCGGGTTAGGTGTGGTGTCACAGCTCAACTCGACTAGCACAAGATTACGAACTGCACGATGAATTAGAGCTGCATACATGACTCCACGTTGGTAGCAAAACACCTACAATGAGAACAAGCGTTCTCTAGATGAACACATGACTAAAACACTAAATATCTCAACAATCAACTGTTATGTGTAAGGCTCTTTTTACAAAGAAGAATACGAATTCAAAAAAAAGCAAGCGATGAACAAAACCAAATCAATGCACCTCGACATGCCTCATTGGAGCAATTCTTGCCTCTCTTCCAGGAATTGGCTCAAAATTGTACTCGCTCGTAGGTATCTGAATCGGAAACCATTCACTTATAGATTTTCGCACTACTGCGTAGTCAACTGAGTAGCTACCTACCCCAGGAATACCCCATTCCGCTGCATAAGACTTCCAACTCCATCCATAATTCAATGAGTTTTTGTCTTTTAACAACGACTTTTGAGGTAAAGAAAGCTGATATCCAACCGAAGCACAAAATCCCTGCGGAAACACACCATGCGTACCTCGATGCGCCACAATCTACTCAAAGCCGATGAGAGGAATTTTAACACATTTACGCAAATATTTTAGAGGAAAATTACCTCCCGTGTGTCTGGTCGGCCATATGAAGACGAGACAATTTTTACAAAGTGTGAATTTATGATTTCGCTAACATGTCCAGGGAATATGACCGCTCTTTGTTCAGCATCCTGTACTTCGACTAAGCAACCAACCTAAAGATACGATGTTTTGTGACCTTAAATTTTGTGTTTGAAAGCAGTACGAGCATAGAACTCGTCCGGTAACTAGAAGTTGAAGAAGAAAGCTCACCTTGAGGACATGTTCTTTTAACTCATATTTTTTGAAGACAATGGCAGGAACGGAGTTCTTGGCAAACTTCTTGATACTTTCTGCACTGTACTTTCCAGGGCAATAGGCGACCTAGTGCACAATCGGAAAGATGAAAGAAGTAAAATGAAAATAAAGGAAGCCCTCACCGCATCCTCTTGATGACTGGCTACCCATCCCATCGGATGACATCGAGGATCGGTGATATTTATGGATAGAGTCTGACGCCAAAAAAATGAACTACGGAAAAAAATTAGAAACAAGCGGAAGACACTAACATAATCTAGAGTTTGGTATATTACAATGCCGCC